CGCTGTTTCTGTTAACATGTCAATGCTTGCATACAAGGTGAATATAGCAAAAGAACTTCAGAAAAAAACAATCGGACACGGAACTAGCTCAACTCACAGAGTTACAAGACTTTGCACACTGATTCGGTGTCCTCCCTTGGCCCTGGGAGTTTTGGCAAAAAATGGTTTTGCGGATGTTTGTTACATACAGGATACAGCTGTTGAAATGCTGATGAAGAATTTTGTTTTTGTTTTTGTTCAGTATGCATTCTAAAGCTGTGTGCTTGTAGGCATTCATCGCCACTTCATTCTCTACGGCCTCATGGAATACTTGAGAAAAAGGTGACCATATGAGAATCCTTCAGTTTGCACTTTCATGAAATTAGCGGGATCTGAGAGCTGACAACCTATGAATTCTTTCAGCCTCGACAGACAATTCTCGGCGGATGAAGTTTTGCAACTGCTGGACCGCTTCTTCAACCTAGAAATGCTGGTGATTGAAACACTCGTCGATTTGGACTACTTTGTTACCGCTCCTCTTTTAGCTTTGTGATTGTTTTGCATCGACGCTACGACCCAAATGAGATCTTGTCTTTTGAAGACATGTTTACTTTAATCTTCTTTGTTCCTAGTTTCGGGAGCATGGGCGTTATTTTTACAGAGTTTTGTCTAAACCAAATGCAGAAACCGGACGACGATGAGAAGGATAACTTCGGTCAGACGGAAGAATTTGCCTTGCCGGACAATTTCTTCAAGAAGGAAGAATGATGTGCAAGTTAGCTGTTTCTTTGTGTTCTTTTCCCCCTGTAGTCTTTGCCCTAGAAGCCTGGAACAGAACACCCATATATATGCTGATGAGCTGTGTTGGTGCTCACTGACTTGACCTGTGCTGTTGTACAGATTCTGTTCTGCTCGGGTACCCGATGAACTGTTATGAGTCTGCTCATTTAGGTTTGGAATTATGTGTTTCGCTTCAATCGTTTCCTTTGTGCCGGCAGTTCGTTGTTAGCTGAAACTGAAAGCAGTTTGCCGATCCGTGTCCCCGTGGTGTGCCTGGGGGCTGGGGATGAGAGTGTGTGTGGCTGGTGCATCTTACTGCAATCGCCACGCCACCACCGTTGGCACAAATCAGTCGCCTGCTCTCTCGTTGTTCAGCAAGGGTGGTCCGGTCGAATGGTCCAGGCCTCATTCGGTTTGAAGGTTTTTTTACAGAAAAAAAGCATAGGAACAAAGATTCCAGAGAAGAATGTCCTATAGATGCATTCGGCTTGTAGAGCGGACGGGAATTTTATAGAAATATTATTCATTTTCTGTATTTTTCAAGGAATCTATAAATCCACTTAAAGCTCTTTTTTGTGCGTATAAACGTGGGAAGACAATTCTTTAGAATGACAAGTGACATCCTATCAACTTTCTATACTGTTCCTAGATCCTATGGATAAACCCTGGCGACGTCAGCGCGCACCCCACCAGTCGGTCACCCTCACCCACACCGCGGCGCCACCACGGCCGGCACGCACATGGCGACAGGGGACGGGGCACACACTTCCTCCGCTCCCTTTCCCTTGCCGATGTGATCCCCCGCCGCCTCCGCCCTCGCCCTCACTCCGTCCCCGCGCCGATCCCATCGCCCCCAGGAAATGTCTCGCCACCACCACCACCACCACGACCCGGCCCCGTCGCCCTGCTGCTCCTGCTGCGCCTGCGGCTGCTCCCCGCCGCCGTGCGGCTACTACGCGGTGCCCCCTCCCCAGCCGGCGCCCGGGTCCGACCAGCTCCTCCACGCCATCGCCGCGCATCTCCTGCTCAGCTCCGCGCCCCCGCCTCCCCCACAACCCCAGCCCCACCCGCAGCCCCACCCTCAGCCGCCGCCGAATCCCGCCGCGCA